AATGGGTACTAATTTTACCAGGGGACAAATTAAAGAGTTGAGTCATTAGAAAAATACATTTCTCCTCATGTGTAAATAGATGTGATCGGGTTTTGGTATCTTCAAGCCGTCACTAGTGACCCTTGGATCACCCAGAAAATAGGTTAAAGTAGACGGTTGTTGACGTGACAATGTACAATTATGATGCTGCTGATTGAATTTTTAATTGTTACTTGAAGACCCGCCGACGCCGTTCAAATACAGCCTCAATGATAATCAGTGTCGAAACAGATGGAATGCCGTGGGCACTTGGTTAACCTCATCACTATCTCACTTTTACTTTTTTCACTTAATTCCAGTCATAAAGAACCTCTACCCGCATCGGTTGATTTATCTGTTTTCCCTAATCTTCCTAATTCAATTACTAGTATAATCTATTTCAAATGAAGATGGATTTAATTATGGTTCTATCATCGACATTACTTTCTCGATATTCAGTAATGGAAAATTAAACCGGTTTCAATTCGTTCAAGGTGAAATATGACAGTGCGTTTTTAAAAAAATTTTCTCAATTCGATCTAGGCGAATGTTTTTTTTTTACTATTTAATCGATATTATCAGTTTATAGAACTGATAAAAAATGCAACATTAAACATTTTTTCAATTGATCAATAATAAGCAATTATTTATTCATTATTAAGAATCCATTTCTCAGAAATATCTATTTTATATATTCAATTGTTCCAGTATACATGAAATAGATATAACAGAAGTTTCATATTTCTCCGGGCGAATGAAAAATTTCACAAGTAGATTTAATAGAATTTGTAAAAGCTATCGACTCATCTTCCTGAGTTTCGGATAAAACGATGAAAAGAGAGATGAGAAAAAAAAACGGAATTCTCATATTAGTTTCCATGGAAGTATCGTGTTTCGCCCTGGGCAGGGTTTCTGCCGTGTGGGCGATACCAGGTACGTCAATGAATTTTTTTTTTCCCCTCTCCCTTGACTTTTCCCCCGGGAAATTCTCGGAGAGTATCTATCGGAGAACAGTACATGAATAAATGGACATCAGAAATGAAAATATAAGAGACATTGAAAAACACATGGTGGCACGTTTTAAGAGCCTTTCTCATGCGGGTAATACATGTGACGACCTATGCCTAGACCAATAAACACTCAATTGCTTAATTAAAAACCGTCACAAGTAGGTATATACACGCACGCAGTATTTTTATCATGACGCAACTGTTCTGGAGCGCCGTGAGGCACGTTATTTAACATTCCGTCATGCGTCCCTCATTCTGCCCGATAAAATTTATCTACCTGTATTAAATGATAGAGTGATAAAGAGTATACAAAGAGTTCTAGATCAGGCATAGGCGACCTCCAGGTAGCTCGGAGCAGAGTCATAAACTCGAATTAGAAATTCAATAAAGTTTATAACTTTTTTGATTAATAATTTAATTTTATGTAATATAATTTTTGATCAATAAGAAAAGAAATTAAAAAATCCAAACCTGGATAAAAATATTTTCT